GCTGAGCCAAGGGTATGGACTCACAAGCCATTCCCCTGGCTGACTTATTCCAGATCTCACGTTCTGCTTAGCTACGGGGTAGTTCCAAGAGAAAGCACCTCGTACTTGCTCCTTTGCAGCACACTGGCCATTGAATCACATATATATGCAACCATGTGATTAACGTCTATCGCCCCAGATAAACTGCAAGCTCCTGGAGGGTGGAACGTTGTCTCACTTGTCAAGTGAATGCACTGAGTTAATAGTTTTCCAATGCACACAAACCAAGTAATCTCAACTGCCCACAGATTCTAACAGAAGAAAAGGCCATCCTTGTTCCCATTCTCGGCCCTTGAGTGAAGATTAATTGGAGTGTCTGTTCTTATGCGGAGCTCTGGTGGTACAGAAGGTCCCCATTGGGCTGCTAGCCACAAGGTAGGCAGTTTGAAATCAACAGCTGTTCTGAGGGGGGAAAAGGAGGCTTCCTACACCTGTAAAGATTCACAATCTTGGAAAACCACAAGGACCATTCTACCCTGTCTTATAGGGTTGCTTTGAGTTGGAATTAACTCGATGGTGCTGAGTTTTTTGAGTGGGCATTACACACTAAACCAAACCCCTATTCCATTTGCTGTGGAGTTGATCCAACTATGGTACCCAATGCGTTACGGTACAGAACCGGTCCACCGCGTTTTCTTGGTTGGAATCTTTAAGGAAGCAGGTCTCCTCGTCTTTCTTCCGTGGTACCTCGTGGGGGGCTGGGAGCCAACTTGGAAGGCAAACTGCCCCATCTACACAGCCTCCTATTCCAATTACAAAAACAAAGGGGGAAACCAGCCCAGGGCCGCCGAGCGGAGCCTGACTCGTAGCAGACCAACATAAGGGTTCCAGGACATTGTTTTCGGAAGTTGACAACTTCATTTTCCTCCTGTGGATTTGAACCACGGATCTTGCAAAGAGCTCAGCATCTAACCCACAATATCAGCAGGGCTCCCACCTTTGCTAGGAGGGCTCCCATGGCTCCCTGTTTCTTTTCATATGTGGTTATAGAACAGCCCACGATCGGCGGGTGTGGCGGGAGCCCCCCAAACTGGACAGATAAACTCGTTACAGACACTGAGCTTACTGGAGCATTGACTGAGACGGCCAGGTCGCCAAGATCATCTCCTAAAGACAGCAACAACAAAAACCAAGAAGGAAGTAGAAAGTGCACGTGTTTGCTTTTCATTCTCTAGAAAGAGCAGCGGGAAGAACTAGGAGCCACGCCCCTTAGCGCCAGCTAGCGCGCTGGGTACGAAGATCGCCAGGAGCTTCACCCCAGCAGACTGGATAAATTAATCGGGGCGAAATCTGAATGGCTACCCAGAGGCAAAGTCCTACGGCTGTTTATAGCTATGTTGTCTTTTTCCAAAACTGGATCGCAACGGAACCCTGATCCAAGCAGCCGGGGCCACCACAAGCTCCTGTAGTCCCCGCGCACCCCCACGCCTCCACCTCCACCCACCCCTCCACCTCCACCCCCGCCCCCGGGGGATCTCCCATCCCCAGCAGCTCACTGGTGTGGGTGTGAGGGCCAGGTCAGGGGCCCGCCGGGAGCTCGGGGCAGAGTTCAACTCACCTTCCAACTCGGCAAAGCCGAGCACCACATCCGAGGCTCTCCCCTGCCTGTCCTTGACCTCCAGGGCTGTGATGGTGCAGCCCCAGGAGATGATGTCCACTCGCAGCTGGTCCGACTGCAGCTGGAACTTCTCAACAGGTCCTGCCCCGGAGGGCAGGTCTCCAAACAGCGCTCGGGTCACCGAAGCCATGGGGGAAACGCTGCGAGCAGCAGCGACTCCGGATCCAGACACAAAGTTTACAAGAGCAAGGCCACGTGACCCGAGTCCTCCCTTTCCTTCCCTGGATTTAGGGAGTGGCCATTCTCAAAAAAAAAAATCCTAGGGGCCGGTCAGATTCGTTTGTTTGCCGAATTTCCAACTAGGCAGGCAGTTCTTTTCCTTTGCTAACTCTGGCTGCATTGCATGCTGGGGATGGTAGTTTTTGAAAGGTGAAATTGCATAATGGGGCCTGTAGTCTTTTTTTTTTAAAACTATCGTTTTAAAAGGAGCTCATACAACCCTTATCACAATCCATACATACATCAATTGTGTAAAGCACATTTGTCCATTCATTGCCC